GGGACAGCAGGTGAGGTCTCGGAGGCCGGGCTCCGCGCGGGGCAGGCGCCGCGCTGCGCCGCCAGGGCGCGGGTGGCCAAGGCGGGAAGAAAAAGCCTAGAGAACGCTGGCGCCCAGGCCCAGGCCAGCTGGAGCTGGGGTGCGTAAGCAGGACAGGAGTGGGGCCTCGCAGCAGCTTTCCCCAGCTTACCCACCAGCCCGAGTCTGTGCCAGGAGTCTGGGAGCCCACAGCCACGGGAGTGCCCCAGCGTTTGGCAGGAGATGGGCGCGCGCATGCCTGTCCATGAGTCTGTGGCTTCAAGGAAGCCTGTCTGAAAAGGAAGGGCCTGAGGGCAGGACTGAGGGTGCGTGGCCACCTGGCAGGACTGTGCCCTTTGAGAGGGCGACAGGAGCCCCTCACTGGTAGGAATCCACAGGGCCCCCGCTGTCAGGGCACGGGAAGCTGTTTCCTGGGCTGCTCCCATCAGTGGGGCTGCGGTGGAGGTGTGGCCAGTCACCACCAGGCCAGATTCCAGGGCTGGGCCAGTCCCAGGTTGGCTCTGAGCTGGCTGTTCCACGCCAGCCAGGATGTGAGCAGCGCCGGCCCCAGATTCCCATGCCACTAGGGCCAGGAAGAGTGGGTGAAATCAACTGCTTATCCAGGTTGTACGTGGTGCTCCAGATCGCATGACCAAGGTGGGCACAGAGAAGGCACTCAGGAAAGGGGCACGCTCCCTGCCTCGCCTAGACTCCCCGTGCCAGCCCGGGCCTCTTCCCGCTGCACCATTGGCTGCCTCCGTGCCCCCTGAAGCTCCCTGGCTATGAAGGCCTCAGAACCAGCTGGCTCCCCTAGAGGTCCCACCAGAACAGCCCCTGTGCTTTGGGGCTACAGCTGGAGAGCCAGGCCTGGGGTCTGAGGGCCGGGATTGGGGCGGGGGCGGGGTGCATCCCACATCCCAGAATCGACTCCAAATAAGGGAAAATATGAAAGAGCTGGATTGTGGCTTCCCCAGACTGCCCGATCTGGGGGCTTTGGGACGGGGCGCCATCTGGTGGCTACACTCTGTCCTCTCGCCGCAAGGACCCTCAACACTTCCGCTCCTCCCTCTGCCTGTTGAGAAGGCTTAGGCTGGCAGCCGGGACCCCTCACTTCAGGCCCTTTTCTGGTGGAGTTGGCCACTGCTAGCCGCTCAGGCTCAGTTTCTCTGCCCACCCTCTGCAGATGAAGGGCGAACACAGAGGGCCCGCTGGGTGGCACCCAGTAGAAAGAGAATCATTTCTTTATTGAATGCTGTCCCTGTGAACTTGTTTTCCAGTTGGGGACAGGAGAGGGGCAGGGTGACCATAAGAATAACTCTACACCTGCCCTGAAGGCGGTCTGGCTGGGAGTGGTTCACAGGGGTGCCCCCTTCACAGCTTTCCCTCCCTCCTCCACCTCAGCTCACAGACATGCTGGCTGGGACATCTTCTGCAGTTGTCTGAGAATAGTGAGGAGACAGGAGTGTTGCAGGGTGGGCCACAGCACTGGAAATGCCATTTGGCCATCTTGCCACTACCATTGATGGGAAAAACCCAGTGGGGTGACAGAGAACCACAAAGAGATGTGCAGGGAAGCTGGAGAGATGCTGGCCGAAGGTCCCAGCCTCACTACGGGTGACACAGACAACCCAGGGCCAAGCAAGAGTCAACCTTCACCGCACAATCAGGCCGCAGAATCACACATGCCTTTCCGGAAAAAAGACCTAGAGAAGGGGAGGCTCTGGAGAGGAAGGGACCGGTCCTGGGAAGGAGCAGTGTGCAGCTAGCAGGCCCCTGGCCGTGGGCTTCACTGGTCCCTGTTTCCCCCCCAGCCTCCCTCTCCTGTGGCCAGCACTGCAGTGACACTGTGCCCGAAGCTACTCAGCCTGCCAAGCCTTCTTTGGGCGCCCCCTCCCCAGCAGGCCCCTCTGGCTCAGAAAGGCCACCCCCACCCCTCCCAGGTGGCACTGCGCTCGCTCAGGGCTATTCCAACGCGAGAGCAAGCCCCCCCCCCCCCCCCCGCCCCGCCTGGCCCCCAGGTGTTTGATGCTGTGCGGTGTGGCGCGCGGGCTCTCTCTGGCCCCGCTGGTATCAGGCCTTGTCCCTAGCCAGTGCCCACTGGCACGCCTGGCCCCTTCGAGGGCTAGCTGAGAGCTCCTGGAGCGCTTGCCGGCGGCCTCCTAGCCCAGTGCCCCATTTCCTCCCGAGGCCGGCAGGGAGGCAGGGAGGGGGCGCTGAGCAGCGGGCGGCACAGGTGCGAAGGCGGAGGGCCTGCAGACCCTCCAGGCCTGCGAGGACAGGGGCCTGGGAGGCTTGTGGGCTGAGCCTCCACGCAGAGGGCTTGGAAGCGAGCCTGGCCCCGGGCAGGCGCTGCCCAAGTGTCCGCTCGGAGCACTCGGGCCCTTACTGGACACCCAGGCCCAGAAGCCGAGAAGAGGTGCAGGGACCAGGGAGGGGGCCTCAGGCGCCTCGGCCCCACGTGACTGCGGGAGCGCGCGCCTCTTCCCGGGCGCGCCTGCTCTGAACCCACTCCCATCTCCTCGCCTGTTCGGCTCGCGCGCAGGGCCCACCCCTTTACGTGTAGTCAGAACATGCCAGCACAGGCCGCGCTTGCCGGGCAGCCCCTCTCCCAAGCCCTGGCCTGTTCCCTACGGCTGGGCTGGTTCAAGGCTCCGCCCCCGTCCCAAGTCCCGACCGAACACGCCTACGACGGCGTATGACGTCTTCGCTCACCAGCCCCTCCCCTTTCTCGGGCCCGCAGCCCCTCTCCGCTTCTACTCGCACACAGATCTGCGCAGGCGCGTAGGCCCGCCCCTCTCTGGCTTCCAGCCCTAGCCCGCTCCTTTGTGGCGTCACTACTACGCAGCCCCGCCCCGCCCCCAAGTCCCGCCCGGTTCTGCCTTTTGACTGGCGTGCGGACCCGCCCCTCTCTTGTCTCTGGCCCAATCGCGCCCGTTTCTGATGTCTTGGCTCATCAGCCCCGCCCCACGCCGCCCCACTCCCACGTCCAGACCGGTCTGCGCCGGCTGCGCTACCGGCGGCCTTGTCTCCCCGCCACGCGCGAGCGGGCAGCCCCGGCGGCCGCTGTACCCGTGCCGTATCGTGGTCGCGCAGTCGCTGCTGAGGCGTTCTTGCTGCCCCTTCCCCCGCGGCGCTCCAAGGCAGCTGTTGCTCGGCTTTGCCCGGCCGGCCTCCTCCCAGGCCGCCGCCGCGCGGGCCCCGTGCCGTCGGCGCCATGGACGACTACGCCGGTCTGTCGGACTCGGAGCTGGTCGCCGTGCTGCGCCAGTACAACATTCCACACGGACCCGTCGTGGGTATGCGGGCTGGCGGGCGGGCGGGTGGCCGGCCTGGCTCCTTTTCCCAGCCCCGCGAGCCCCGACCTGCGGCCCTGATCCACCCCGCGCCCTGTGTCTGGCAGGCTCCACTCGCAAGCTCTACGAGAAGAAGATCTACGAATACGAGACCCAGAGACGGAGACTGTCACCCCCGAGTTCGTTCTATCGGTTCTCCGGTGAGGCCCCGCCGGCTCCCCACTGGGGCCCGGGGCGGACGGGCTCGCGAGGGTGTGGCAGGGGCGCCGACGGGGAGGCCGGAGGGCAAATGGTCCCTTGCCCCCTCTTGTCTCGAACGCAGATTTGGATTCAACGTCTGCGGAGTCGGATAAGTACGATCTGCCCAAGAAAGAGGACGCCTTGCTATACCAGAGCAGGGGTGAGGGGGAAGGAGGGCGGGCGCCGCCCAGCGCCTCCGTCGGTGGAGCCTGGGCCCCGGGAGGGCGCGAGGGCGCGCGCGGCAGCCCGGGCGCGGGGCAGCGGCTGTCCTAGGCGCCGGCCGGGACTCAGGGTAGGGGAGGCTGTTGCCCGCTCTGCCAGCGCTGCCCGCCTCTCCCCAAGGCTACAATGACGATTACTACGAGGAGAGCTACCTGAGCACCAGGACCTACGGGGAGCCCGTGGCTTCGTCCTCGGACACCGACACCTTCCACCGGCAGGTGAGCTGACCGGCAGGCTGGCTTCGGGCTGTTGGGTGGCCGTGGTGGCTCCTCGCCGGCCCTCGGGCCTGCCTCCGGCGAGAGTGGGGCTGAGGGAGGGAGCTCGGCCTTTGGGGCGGAGAGCCCGGAGCGCGCATGGAGGCTCCTGCTGCTGCTCGGCGGGCCCCGGGATCCACGCTGGGGCGGGAAGGAAGGTGCGGGGCTCCCACAGCCAGGACAGTCACTGAGCAGGTGGCAGGGGCCTTCGGGGAAGCGTGCACGCGGGATGACAGCGTCCTGCCAGCCTTGCCTGCCAGTCTCCTCCCCGTGGCCGCGTTTAGGTGCCCGAAGACCATCTCTTCACTTCCTCCTCCGAGGAGGGCAAGGCTCGGTAAGGCGGCGGGAGTGCCTGCGGGAGGGCGGCCACGGGGCTGCTCCCGGGCCTACCTACGTGCTCCATCCCTCTCGCAGGGAACGCCCCCTGTATGGCCGCGACAGCACCTACCAGAGCATCGCGCACTACCGGCCGCTCTCCAGGGACACCCTGGGCCTGCCCTGTTACCCCAGCACCTCGTCTACCTCCTCCGACTCCTCGGCCCCGTACTCCCGGCCCTCTTGGCTCGCCCGCCGGGCCATTCGGCCAGAAAAGCCGGCCCCGGGGGCAGGCGTGGGGGACCACCGCCAGGTCCCGCTCTGGGGCCAGCTGCTCCTGTTTCTGGTCTTTGCCGCCTTCCTGGTCTTCGTTTACTACTCGATGCAGGCGGAGGAGGGCAACCCTTTCTAGGCGGAAACCTAAGGCGCTGGCCTGAGCCTGCCATTCTCTGAAGTCCTGGCTCGGCTGCCTTAGTGTTTTGTTGGGGAGGGGGGGGCTTTTCTGTGTGTTCTCGCGGGGCCGGGGCGCCCCAGCTCAGTGCTTTGATCTCTGCCTTGCCCCAGCGGGGAGGCAGCTGCCTTGCCCAGAGCCGCCCTGCTTGCCCTGGGCAGGCACAAGCCCTCCCCCTGGAGGAGAATACTGTTGTGGTCACCATGCATGCCTTTTGTTTAGTGTCACCTTTGTGGTGGGGGATCGGCCAGAGACACCCTGATTGGTTTTCACGGACACACAATAAATAGACCATTTATTTTTAACACGGTGGCTCGGCCTTTCTTGGGGAAAGGGCTGGCACAACGTCCAGCCCTCGGCGTGAAGGACCCGGTCTGGTGTTGGCCTCCAGCTTGGTCTTGGGGTCGGGGCTTGAATGCTGCCCCAGGGTATGTTGGTGTTTGGGGGTGCATTTCACCCCTCACCCTTCTGTAACGGCTTGTCCAGCCCTACTGTGCAGCAGCCTGGAGGTGCGAGGCTGGGCGCACGAGGCTGGCTGTGGGCGCCCCCCGGGAAAGCCGCAGGCAGCACACGGGTGGGGGTGTTGGGGGCTGGTGGCTTGCTGGGGGATTATCTCCCGCCTACTGGGAATGACTGGGGGAGAGGCTCCCATATTCCTAGGCTTTGGCTGTCACTTCTCAAGGCTCTTGCACTACTTCCCGATTTCCTCTCATGGGGTTGAGTTTCAGTCTTTAGATTTTACTAATATCTTCACGGGGTGCTAAGGAAACCCATGCCCGAGGGGCTTTCCTGTACTTTGGCTGTGCCCTGCACATAGCAGAGAGGCACACAGGTGCTGGCGTCTGCCCCTAGGGGCTCACCCTGAGCAGGTGGGCCCCTGGTGTCAGCCCCTCCTGGCCTCTAATCAGCTCCTAGCTTTGGGTGTTAGGACTCGGCTGGCCCTGAGTGTCTCACCTGGCACAGCCCCCACGGGGCACCCACCCAAGTACCCATAGACTCTGCATTCTTGGGGCCTCCAGCCTGTCGGTGGTCACAGGGCAAGTTCACAGCAGAGCTGGGCCGGGGCCCCTCCCAGCTGCCAATCATCTATTTCCACGTGTCAAGTAACAGGTGGTCATTGAACTTGAAAATGCACAGAGAACGCCAGACCCCAACCTGGGATTTTCCTTGGCTGCCGGCTGCAGCTGCTCTGTTTTCATTTAACCAACTCTTCCTAGCTCCTCCCCCAGTGCCCAGCCCCCCCCAGCTCGTGTGCCCTAGGCCCACAATTCGAGGAACTGTGATGGCCGCCCTGCGGCTGAGCCCTGGGCAGTGTGGCAGGCAATAGGTGGGCACGGGTCAGGAGTGCTCCCCTCCCTGGGGGTCCACAATAGGGGCCTTGTACCGAGCCAGTGCTGACGAGCAACTGTTGATGTAGGGGTGCCTGATCTGGACCCTGAGAACAGAGTCTTCTCTGTCTGGTGACAAGGACACATATCACTCCCAAAGCAAGTGGCCCTTGAAAGCAGTGATGTGTGAGTCCAGTCCCCGTTGACGGGCTGCTGGAGCCTGGCATTGGGCAGAAGTGAACATAGCAGGAGCCCATGTGGACCCTGGGATGGTTTGGCAAGGGTGACTCCTCCAAAACTGGATGGATGGCGTGGAGGAGGGGCAGCAAGAGCGGAGGAGGCGCTGGCCATGGGGGGTTGCCAGGGTGGAAGGGAGCTACCTGGGCCCCCGAAGAAACGGCCTCTCTGGTCTGACTGAGAGGAGCAGGGAGGGAGTGCCCATCAGTACAACGAGGTCTCCCCATATGCAGGTCTTGTTCCCAGAGGGCCACAGGCCCAGGGGGAGGCTCTGGGGTCCCCAGAAAGCTCCCGAGGGTCCGTGGCCTCTACAAGCCTCCAACCAGGGCTTTCCAGGGCTCTAACTCCAAGGTTCCTCCGCCACCTAAGGGCTCTTGTAGAATTCAGACCCCCCCCTTCCCAGACTTCAAGGGCTCCCAAGTCCTGACGCTGGCCCTACCCAGTGCTTCCCAGGACACGAGCGACTCCCCAGGGGCTCCACTCAGCTCTGTCACTGCCTGAGGACTTGGGGGCTCCCCAAGACTCCAAAGGGCTCTGTTTCCTCCCCTTTCCCTACAGCCTTAGCCGGGACCTTTGACACCTGACACTGCACAAATGTCACACAGGTCCACTCTGCAGAGGGGCTTAGGCGGGGAGCAGGGTGAGGCCACTGACTGCATGAGGCGGCTGGGCCAGGGCTGGTGGGGGTCACCAAGCCCGCCCCCCAGAACATCTGCTTCCCTGGCCCAGATAACGCTCCGTGGCCAAGTCAGAGCCCCCATGAGTGTCAGTAAGAGGCTCCAAGAAGTATGGTAGACACATCTCCACGGAAGCTCAGGCCTCTACCAACCACAGAATGCCCCCCCCCACACACACACACCAGTTTGATGTTTGCAAAGAACAAGTGGAAAAATTCCTTGGCCTCCCTCTCCCCTAGGGCCCAGTACGGTTGGAAGTAACGGGCTTGTCAGCTTGCTTGCACCATGACAACAGCAAGAAAAGCGGGCGCCCCCCTCCCCCCTGCCCCCCTGCATGTCACCACTGCATGGCTGGGCAGGCCAGCCGGGGTGGGGGGGCACATGTTGCGTAGAGCAGCTACCCCTGTGGCGGTCAAATAAGGGGTGCAGGTGGAGGCGGGCAGCACAGGGCTGGGTCATTGGCTGGCAGGGGAGTGTCTTGCCAGGCCTGGGTCGGGGGACACACAGAAACGGTCTGTGGGGGATGAAGAAGAGGCCCAGGCAGCCCAAACATGTCCCTGCCACATCACATCACACACCACCGACTGGGGTGGGGTGGGCAGCAACAGGAGGGCCCAGCTCGCCCACGGCTGCCAAGCATCTGGCCCATCGGTGCCCAGACCAGAAGGGATGGGGCATTCCTGCCAGTCGCTGGAGAGCCCTTGGTGTGGGGAGACAGGCATCCGGCACCGCGGCTGGGGACTGCATGTGGGATCATCCAGCAGCGCCCCCCCCCGACCCCCGACAGTAAGCCCCGTGACTGTCCTGAAGGGTGTCCTGGGGAGGTGGGCCTGTGGAGCGGAGGATCAGAGCCACAGAACACTGGCTGAGCGCGCAGCTAGGCGTCAGCCCCGGCCCGGGAGGTGACAATAGACCCTGGAGGGGAGCAGCGCAGCGGATCGCTTTTATACGGCCTTTCCCGCCATGGTCTTGCGGAAGGCCGAAGGGGTCCCTCGCTGAAGTTGCAGACAGTTGAACAGACTAGCAGGCGTGATGAAAGTAGGCATTAATCACAGTGACTACCTTGCTTTTCCCTCCCTTTCACTTTCTTTTAAATAAACAGAATAGCCAACCTGTTTACAGACGCTGACTTCTTTAGGTTTCATATTTTCAATTATACATTCTAAGCATACCCCTCTTCCATGACCAGTTTTGGCTGAGAACGGTAGCCTATGAAGCAAGGAGACCCTGGGAAGAAGGACTCTGCGTCTGGAGTGACAGGGAAGAGAAGAACAAAGGCATTCCTGGCCGTCCAAGGGATCTTCAACCCCCTCCCCATCTCCCTATAGAATCCTGTTGACCCCTTTGCTCAGGGAGACAGACATCTTGCAGAAGCGATTCTCTGTCTCCTCGGGTCTCGATACTCAATCAACCTTTCACTTTCCGGCTTCAATCTGTTGTGATCATTGGCTCTTCACGGCAGGGGCCAAGGACCTTGTTGTTCTTACAACAATCGTAAACCCCACCAAATGACTGGGTTGTTGTTGTTATGTGCCGTGGAGTCGGAGTCGGCCCCGACTCATAGCGACCCCTCCTTGGGTTTCCCAGGCAGTATCACTACAGAAGTAGGTTGCCCAACTTTCCTTCCCAGGAGTGGTTGGTGGGTTTGAACCTCCAGCCTTCTGGTTAGCAGTCAAATAAGTGCCTTAGGCTCTAGGCTACCAGAGTCAGGACTATGCAAATAAGGTGCTTGTGGCCCACCAAGGGATTGGACGGCTTGCTAATAAAGGAAGTAAGGTACAGGGAGCCCCTGTGGGGGTGGGACCATGCCAGTAAAGTGTATGGAACCCTAACAAGGGGCTGGGGCAGCTTTGCTATCCTGCTGGCCTTCAAATGGGGCCTCCCACCAGAGGCAGGGAGGGAAGAACCGCAGCACCGCCAAGAAGAGACGGGAGCGGAGTCCGTGCTTTGGACAGGAGCCCGCACTCAGGAGACAGCACACGAAATGACAGCAAAGAACGGGTGGCAGCAGAACCGGGAGACGGGCAGGAGACAGCGAGTGGCTTCCAGGCCCAGGGAGCCAGAAAGCTGAGCCCCTTTGGGCAAGAGGCTTCCCAGTGGTGCGAGGTGCCTCCGAGCGCTGGCAGGCAGAGCTGAGGGGCTCTTTAAGGCTTGCCGCAGCAGGGCAGGGGACGGGCCAAGGGCCAAGGGCCAGAGAGAGGCCTGCCTTCCGGCACGGCTGAGAAGACCTGTCCTGACTGAAGAACTGTATCTGGAGTCATCTGTGATCCGGAGCTGCAACCTGTTACCCTACGAAACCCCATAATCGGGAGTGCTGCCCGTGCGTTCTGTGTGGCACAGGGGTAGAATGCTACAGGAAGGACAGCTGCTGTCAGGATCAGTGAAGAGGTTAGAGTGAGGAGACAGGTCTGCCCGCCGCCTGATGGAATCAGCATTGGGTGTTGATCTTGACCCCCGTGACTCCGGAAGTTGGAGGAGGTCAGACCCCTGCCATGCCTTTTTCACAAGTGGGCAGAATTCAGAGGCTGTAGTCGGTTTCCCGAGAACACAGCCCAGGGGACAGTGAAGCAGCAGCCCTGGAAGTCCCAGAAAACAACGTCCCCCTGCCCGGCTCTGGTGGGCATCTTCCAGCCCAACATATTGGCCCCCACACTTCGTCAAAGGGTACAGTCTTGCAGCCATGGGAAAGGACCCTGCGGCCCTGTCTGGGACATGCTTG